AGACGTAAAATAAATTTGAAGCTGAGTTTTTGAAAAAAAAAAAAGAGATTTCTCTTTGCGTCCGTATACCTGCAAAATGGAGGAGAATCCATGTCGTTTGTGGATAATCCGTAAAATGGGAACTCATCAAATCTGTTCCACCACAAAATAACTCCAGCTTTTCTCAACCTGAGATTTAAAACTCTTGTGTGAGTTTTAAGGAATACTAGTTCTTTAATTTTAAATTTGAGCTGTTCTAATATGGCAGAAATCCACTTTGTTCTTGGCCCCACTCAGACCAGRCCTCACCAGTCTGGTCAAAATTAAACTCTATTTCTCCAAACTGAGGTTGATGAWGGGGTTATCTACCGCAGGTACGATATTCATTTTTGCACAACACTTCTACAGCTCTGAACTCTCATTTTAACTTTAAAGCATCACTTTATACACAAGTTTGCACCCCACCCTTTTCAGTTCTGTAATTTTGCATCAAACCAGTTTGTCATTRGGAGCTACCTATTGTCATCAGCCATGAGGGACACATTAAAGCAGCAGACATCAATAAGCTGCTGCGTATCCATCACAACGGCAGGTTCTYTGTGGAAACCTTCACTGTCAAAACCTGTCAGAATGCACTGAGTCTTTAATGAGGTAAAGCCAAGTTGAAAACCACAGGCACTGACGTGTCTCAGTGTGTGTGTGTGTGTGTGTGTGTGTGTGTGTGTGTGTGTAAGTGAGGATTGAGCAGGTTGAGGGAACAGGTGCATTGCTGGAAGCTGTAGAGGTAGAAGGAGCAGTAGGGGCTCAGCACAGAACGTCATCTCTGACAATTCCAGTCTCGCTAATCAAACCCACATCAGCTGCCAGTGACTAAAAAGATGCATGACTGACATTACATAAAGAGCAGTGGGCTGGTGATTAAATCAGCGCTTTTCGCAAACGTGGTAAATTTGCAGATTTTTTTTTCCCTTCTGTACTGTAGCCTTATGGTAATTAAATAATCAATATATGAACTCCAAGAAAAGGTTATTTTTCCAAAATGATAAACTGAACTAAATTACACTTTAGTTGAACTCTGTTAAATGAAGTCCTAGCTTTTTTTTATACAGTATATCTGCAACAGCAATTTCTAATCTACTTTACTTTTAATCATCCATTCACAGCAAACCCCCAACCCTCGGCTCTTCACTATTCTCAGGTATGTCATCATGACAGAAACCAGTTTGTGAAGTTTTCCTGCGGCCGTTAACAACTGTTACTCTCACAAGGTAGGCATGATCTCCCAGCAGGCCTTTCAGAGTTGAGGTAAGGAGGCTCAGGTGAAAGACCCCAGGCTAACTTCACCCAGATAAAACCGGTAAAAAGGAGGGGAGGCGGAGCGCGATAGAGGTGGTGGAGCAGAAGTAAAAATACTTGCAGAGGAGAGAAATGGTATGAGGCAGCAGAGAAAGAGGAAAGAAAAAAATCTGAAAATAAGTAAAAGTTGTAAAATGGAGAACATGAACAATATGTTTGCCCATGACTGTGCGTGCACTTGTCTGTTATCACAATATCTCATGAAATGGTGAACGGATGTTTATGAAACTTACAGAACGTAATCAATGGATGAACAAATATAAATGAGTAAAGTTTAGAGTCAACACCATTCAAGATGACAGCCATAGCCACCCAGACTTGTAAAACACAAAACTGWCTGTAATTCAGTCAATTTTACAGCTACAGAGCTAAAATTTGGAACGGTCATAGCTGTGTGTTACTTACACTGCAAACTCCAAGTGCCACTCATTGTGTGAGATCTTTGCCTAAAACTTTAGCTTTAACTGTTAGAGTCAACTCTGCTTGTCTGTCAACAGAATATCTAACGAAGCTCTATTAAGATTTTAATCAAACTCCCAGAAAGTKATCACAGGACATCCATCTACAACTGATTAACTTTTGGAATTAATCTAATTTAAGATGGTCAGTGCAGCTAATGAATATCATTCAACACAAAAAAAGGCTATAACTCAATTAATTTTACAGTTAGTGAGATAAAATTTGGTGTAGTTGTAGATGAAAATCTTTCATGATAAATACTTTGAACGAGACATTTTGAGATACCACATGAGATTCCAAAGAATATTTTAAGATTTGGTCTGAACAACAACTCCATCCAACTGATTTTCTAAAACGCTGACATAAAAAAGCGAGCAATATGGATTTCTTCAAATAACATTAGGCCCTTATTGTAAAAATGTCTTTTGTACCTCTCTCCTGATCAAAGTGATAAGAAAAGTCTTTGCAGTTTGTGAAGTAACATGAAAAACTCTATCTAGATTTTTTTTCCAGATACTCATGCTTCATCACAAGTGTTTGAAGTAAATGGTCAAATCTTGTTTCAAACATACAGTATGTTCTACTTTTTTTTTCTTAGTTCAACAAACCAGAATCCATCTTGTTGAACCACAGGAAGCTAATGAGAGCTAAGAGGTGACATCGGCCCAAGGGATGATGTGAACTACAGCTACATGCTGAGAGAAATATAGGAGAGGCTGGAATGCTGTCCTCTAGTGTCAGTCACTGGCTGATGTATAATGGCCTCAGGTCACAATTACAGTCCTGTAAGCTGTGTGCAAATATGACTGAACGCACAAGGCCAACATCCTAAACAGTGACTTTTGGGGAGAGCTGTCAGGAAGCTGTTATTGGTGTTTACTTTGTTTGATGGACACTTGTCACTGCGATACGTCAACACTGGAGAAAAGGTCTTTAGAGCCGTTATTAAAGCTCAGAGGCATGTAGGTTTTGTTACTGTCCTAAATGCTAAGTTCTTACCAAAAAATGCATAGTCAGAGCATATCAATGACTTTGATTCATTATTTTACAGTTCACCTGTCTGTTTTTTAAGATTTCTTCATTTTTCTGTCAGCACACTTCGTTTGATCAGAGGTGTCAAAAGTACTCCTATTCAATACTTAAGAGTACAGATACTGGGGTTTTAAATTTTTTTTAAGTAGACACATCAACTCAAGCTTTTTACTCAAGRAAAAGTGTAAAACTACTGGRTTTAAAGCTACTTAAAGTATAAAAGTAATGTAAAGAAAAAAGCCATTAAGGATTAAAGCTTAAGCTGTGCCACAGTTGTCCACAGTGCACAACCCAACCTCCTTCCAAAATAACTTTTTCTAAAGACAATAATGACCATAAAATATTGGGACACACTAAAGCTACCMGTTTCACATGCAGATCTCTGCTATGGTCATCTTCATATAGGCTACATTACATCTGCCATGTCCTGTGACGTGTCAGCGCAGGTGTGATGGATCGTACAAACCAATAAGGTGACAGATTGTTATATATTTATACTTCTCATCCAACCACAGTAAAATTCACTCTATTCAGGAGGTGCCATATATCTGGACAGTTGTTTTTTTTTCTGAAAGACAACAAGTCGGAATGAAAACAAGCTGAAGTAAAAAAATAAATGAAATCTGTCTTGCATTTCTAAAAAGTACAGATAACTGTGTGAAAATGTGAGAGGTAAAAAGTAGGCTGAAAAAATTACTTCAGTAAATAACCAACATTTGTACTTAAGTAAAGTATTTGTACTTCATTATTTGACACAGATTAAAGGAAGTGTTGACAAAGAACCAGAGCTCTTTCTTAAAGCACTCTGGTTCCCTCTTCTGGCAAACACATTTATTTAAAAACAATTTCATTATTTCTTCCAAAATGACTGATGACTAACATCCATGTGGATTTAGCTTAAGAGTGATTTGCACTAAATTCTGAAATCAGGACAATTAAGGCTACAGAAATCTCAAGTTAACGCATTTTCACTCCTAACTTACACTGGGTTTCTTTGATAATCAGCCAGTGTCAGTTAATAATTATATGTTTTTGTAGCTTTATAAAACCTCTCATTAGAATCTATCACTTATTAAATAACTGGAAACCAAACTATAAAAATATAATGTGCAGTTTCTGGTCTAAAAAAATACAAAAACTAAAATAAGTAAAAAATAAAGTATTTCAACTGCAGATAGCCAAAAACACAACCTTCTGTTATAGATTAGATAAAACAATGTGATGCGTGTTTCTATATTTTAGGTTCTCAATATTTCAAGTTTTATGAAATTTTAAAGGAGTTATTATGTCAGTTATATTTGAATGTGACTTCAGAGTGTGATGCGTTTCTGTCCTGCAGTTCTGTTGTAAAAAAAAGTTAAACTACTTGGAGAAAAGCAGATTTTGATGAGGAACAGGATGATTAGTGGGCAGGAAGGTAAAGCCAGAACAGACCACCCTGATGGGCCTTCAGCCAGCAGATGTGTTGAGAACAGGAATATTTCCTATACAGAGCAGGTGCAAAGGCCCTGAATCCTCTCATCCATTCTTCCTTTAATGTTCTTTGTCTTCCAGGTGTTTCACACTTCCTTCTCTGTGTGTCCATCTTGCCATATCCATCCTCACACCTCCTGGCTCTCCTTCTGAATCACTCTTTTTTTTCTCTCTCTCTCACATCAGCTTCATCGCACATCCACAAACTCCGTCACTATGGCGCCCACAGATGGCGACTTCCTGTGGTCCTGCCCAGCGATTGGCGGAGAGACTTCCAAGCACTGAGCAGCTGGCGAGGGATGATGTATCACCGAGCGTTTGCACTTTCATTTTCAGGGTTGTCTTGTTAATGCTCCCGATCCAGCATCTGGCAGGAAATAGACACAAAGGCAGAGAGAGAAGGGAGAGAACAACCTGTTCTTTGGCAGACCTTAACAAAAGGCTGACACACACACACACACACACACACACACACACACACACACACACACACACACACACACACACACACACA